TGCAAAAGCCTCTCCTGGGAAGTTTGCTGACATTGCCAGTTCCCGCACCCCTCCTTCTGCTTGAGATGGGCGGAGTGAGGTCTGAGGACCCGTATTTGTAGCAGTCGCCGCACACCCTCTAGACAGAGAAGGGGCCCAGAACACACCGGGGGGAGCAGCGCTGAGGTGGGTTTATGTTCGCTCACTCAGACACTGGTGAGGAACTGGAAACCCACAGCTTCCACACGGTCTGCTGTTCTTCCATCACATCCAAGTGCAGTGAAGCTTTCACCATGGAAACTTTCTAAAAGCGCTCTCTAAGGGACAGCATTCAGAGAGCATAAGGGGGGTGGTTCCTTATTGCGGCTGAACATTTGAACCCCCCAGGGTACTATACAAAATTCTAATGCCAGGCTGCACTCCAGGCCACAGTCAGATCAGCCTCTGAGGTGGGGTTCAGACAGCAATACCTTAAAGCTCCCCAGGCAGTCCAATGGGCAGGTAAGGGTGAGAACCACATGCCTTCTAGATCCTAAACGTCGCCTGCTCCAGCTTCCTCTGCTAAAGATTCCTTTCAGTTCTGCCCCACACAGCCCACCCAACACCCACCGCTCCTCCTGCCCCCAGTGACTGCGCTGTGTGTTCTTCAAGTCCCCAGTGCATCTCATTTCCCCGTGAGTCCCCCTCACATCATTCCTTTGTCACTACCCACCTCCCGCCCGTCATTTCTGCTAGGCTGGAGGCACCTTGAGCTCCTAGGGCCTGGGTGAGGTTGGCTCCCAATAAAGATCTGCAGGACACAACTGAACCCATCTAAATGCAAGGCAGCGGTTTCAGGAGATGCTATTTTACTTATTTTATATGTGTCATTACACTTCTCTATATGGGCATGAACTGTTCAAGGCGATACTGAGAATAAACAGCAGTTCACTGCTTGCCGGTAAACTTGTCTGTCAAAGAGCTGGACAAAGACATTAGACTCAGAGATTACAACCTGATCCCCCAAGGGATGTCAAGAATCAATCCTCGGTTTTGCCTTTGGTCGCAAGGTGNGGGAAGTCAAGAATCAATCCTCGGTTTTGCCTTTGGTTGCAAGGTGACGAGATGAGGAGCCAGGCTGCAGCAGAGGTGATGGTGAGGTGGCGAAACATGAGAGTACACTGGTGTGTGTGCCTCTGTTTCCATGTGCATGAGCAAGCCCATGTGTGTGTGTGTGCCTGTGCCTACCTAGCAAGCTTGTGTGTGCATCTGTGTGCATGTGCCTGAACAAGCCCGTGTGCATGTGTGTGTGCATCTGTGCATGTACCTGAGCAAGCTTGTGTGTGTGTATGCATCTATGTGCATGTGCCTGAGCAAGCCCGTGTGCGNATGCATATGTGTGCATGTGCCTGAGCAAGCCCGTGTGCGTGTGTGTGCATGTGCCTACCTAGCAAGCTTGTGTGTGCATCTGTGTGCATGTGCCTGAGCAAGCCCGTGTGCGTGTGTGTGCATGTGCCTACCTAGCAAGCTTGTGTGTGCATCTGTGTGCATGTGCCTGAGCAAGCCCGTGTGCGTGTGTGTGTGCATCTGTGCATGTACCTGAGCAAGCTCGTGTGTGTGTGTATGCATCTATGTGCATGTGCCTGAGCAAGCCCGTGTGCGTGTATGTATGTATGTATGCATCTGTGTGCATGTGCCTGAGCAAGCCCGTGTATGTGTGTGTGTCTGTGTTGTGTGTGTGTGTGTGTGTGTCCATGGATGTGGGTCTATTTCCTTCTGAATAAACACCCCCTTTCATTAGAACACACAGAGGGAAGGAAGTTCAGACTCCTGGGTTTTCCCCAAATCCTCAATGTATTCTTTCATTTCCCAGGAAATAACAAGCAGCACAAAATGGATTGAAGAACATTTAGAATTTATGTTTTATCCACCTGCGCATGTTTTCTGAAACTCAGCAGCAAGGAAATAACTTACAGGAGACCTTACCTTGTTAGTTTGTCTAATTAGTATAAACAGCCTTGGAAAGAATTTCCAGTTGGCATTATTACTACACTCAAGTATCCCTTTGAGAGTGTTCTCTTACAATGCATGGAAACGGATCGTCTGCCCGCATGCAATTAGTTACAAAACAACTGGCATGTGTAATCAGGGGCCAGCATTCAGGAATACAAAATATTTGTATTGCTCAAAGGTGTTTCTTGGTTGCAAATCACCTCTTTGGCTATAGTTAATGTTTGCAATTAAGAACAGAGGAGCATTCCCTCTAAAAAATTTTGTCTTCGGTGGAAACTTCACATGAAATGATTCTGTGGGTGAAAACTTACGTTTTGCCCAACACATTCTGATGAAACCTTCAGAGTGCATGCATCATAAACACAAGGAAAACAGAGCACAAGTTTCCTTAAAGAAACGCTGTGCACTTGATTGATGGGGAGGGGGGACTTCTGCAAGACTTGGGACAAAGAAGACGTTACTGTGGTGTGATTCACATAAATTTGACTTCTGACTACAGATTAAGTCTCATTGGAAATTCCTGTGCAGGAGGTTAAAGTAAAACTTTGCTGATCAATACATAAGACCCAAGGGCAATATTTGTTCCTTTAAATATCCTTGGATTTATTTGGTCTTTCTTGCCCTATACTTTGGTTGGACCAGAACCTGGGGAACAGGGGTGAGAAGCGCTAAACTGGTCTTACTAGACTCTGAGTTATCATTTTCTCTTTTATGTCAACTTCATCTTTGGACATTGTAAAGATTGTTGAGACTTTTAAAGTCCTGACAGGGGAGAGAAATGCAGACACCACTTTGAGTAACTGATATATATATANTGAGGCTTTTAAAGTCCTGACAGGGCAGAGAAATGCAGACACCACTTTGAGTAACTGATATATATATATGTATATGGCTGGACATATTAAACAATTNGAGACTTTTAAAGTCCTGACAGGGGAGAGAAATGCAGACACCACTTTGAGTAACTGATATATATATATGTATATGGCTGGACATATTAAACAATTAAAATATTAAATATTAAATGATCAAACATTTTTCTGGGGACATTCTGAGGGGTCTTCACCGCATATAGTAAATGTGATGCTAAGTGGCCTGTGCTGTGAGGACAGCAGTTCTCACACCGTCGGGGTGCTTTCCTGTCACCTGGGCTTGCTGACACACATCACCTGCCAGCCTCTCTGATTCTGTAGGTCTGGGGTGGGGCTTGAGAATTTGCATTTCCAACAAGTTCCCCAGTGAGGCTGATGCTGTTGGTCCAGGGCTGACCCTTCAAGAATCACTGGTGCAGGAAAACACCGAGCACAAGGGAACTCCGGGGGGGGG